TCCTTCAGATATCAAAAACTCCTAGATAATTAAGAAGGTGAGACAATAAGCTGCTTGAAGATGAGGGTCAGGTCTACAAAGTCTCACTAGTTCCTAGAACTCTGACAAGCTCATCAATACTGAGTGAACCAGAGAAAGAATTAAACAAGTTAGAATGGCTGCATTTGTGTATCTTGGTGTGTTTTTAAAATTTTTTAAATTGATTTTAGAGAAAGAAAAAGGGAGAGAGAAAGTGAGAGAAGCATCAGTATGAGATAACATCGATCAGCTGCCTCACACACACATCCTGACCGGGGATCAAACCTGAAACCTGGGTATGTGCACTGACCAGGAATTGAACAGGTGACCTTTCAGAGCCTTGAACTCCAATCAACCTACTGAGCCACACAACTCTGGGTTGTATATCTTGTTTTTATAAGATGCACAGACTAAGGTCTCAAGGGTTAAAATTCATAATTATAACTTGGAAGACCCCAAATATTTACAAATTGAAGCAATGAAATTGGTTGTTTGTTTGTTTGGGGGGAGAATAATTCCAAGGAAACCATATGTGTCATACATTCATTCCACCTTTACAGCTTCTCTGAGAATTAGTGTTCACTTTGCATTTTACAACCTGACATAAAACTAATATATCAGACAGAAACAGCTTGCATACCCATGATAATCATTTCCCACTTCTTCCTTCCAATTACATACTGCAGTTAAGAGCTCCCTAAGCCCTGGCAAGTTATACATAAAGCAAGAATGTATATTGTACATTATACATTTCCTTAGGAGGAAAAGGAACAATAGACATTTGAATCACTATGGCATTGTGACCTCTTCTGTCGTCTAAAGGTTCAGCTATCAGCTTCCACACCTCTGTTCAAGGCAGATTAACATGTGGTAGCTACTTCCATTTCACAAATGAAACAAGTCAATGCAACCACAAAAAAATCAAGAAAGAAGTCACAAACTCAAAGTAACAGGAGCAGTAGGACCCAATTTGAACAGTGATTTGGGTGAATAGTAAATCAACATTGCAGGTTAAAGACAAGCTAAAGAAGAGTCTGAGATTCTTAGAGAGTAATATTCCAATGGCATCCCATTTTAAGCCATTTTCTTTTTGCCCACCCATCAGGGCAGAATAAATAAACTCTCACCAAAACCTGAGAGAAAAGCTGGCCACTGTGTGTGCATCCAGAACTAGCAGTTCTCTAAGATTAGAGAGGCCAGAATACCTATCTGGGGCTAGGAAGCCAAAAAGGAAGTATTAGCTTGAAATGAAATTCAAATATCAAAACCAGAAGGGACCATCTGACTACACAGAACTAATTTTGGTGTGTGACCAAATCCCACCTCCTGTCTGGCAAATCACCAATCACAGTACCTCCTATTGCAATCCAGGCACTAGCCCTGGGTCTATCTCTGATATGGCTATTGTGGCAGAACCTGTGCCCATTCATAAAAGCATGGTGGTTCCGGTGCCAGCTAGACCCTCATGATTCTGCTCTGAGAATGTGGGGTTCTAAGCTAATTTATCAAACTGACTCAATTCACAAATGACACTCAAAATTGCTTCAAATGGAAATGAGAAAACTCTGAGAGTTTCAGCTCTAATCACAGGAGAGATGACTTCTGCCATCCCCCTGCCTCAGATCAAATGCTCAATGAACACATACACACAAACCATTTCCTTCTCTCCCTGCCAATCTCTAAACCCCATGACCAGCTCTCACTAAAACTTGATAAAAATCAAGAACTGAATAAAAAAGGCATCCAGAATGAACTAACTGCTTCCTTAGTATATGAATCAAGGAACTGAAGACACAATCTTATTCAATTCATCCAGCAAATATTAATTGAGTCCATTTACTGAGTACCTACTGGGTACAAATCTTCCTTTCACCAAGATAATGGCCCTGGCACCAGAGATCAGCTAGGCTGTTAGTACAAGTCTGCTCTCTGTCTCTCCCCGGAAGTTCTCTGCCCACTTCAAGGGCTTCTCTTTCCAGAATTCTCTTACGTAACCACATCACCTTGCCCATTCCGGTTTCATCTGCTGGCTGACCTAGTTCCAGCTTACTATGAAGTGGTAAGGATCCTGACCTGGACCACCTTGAACACATGCCCAGGCCATGTGACTGCTTGGAAACCTCCCTCCTCCATCCTTTAAGGGAAGGAGACCTCGTTTTCTAAGAGAAAAAGAACTTAAGAAGGTGTTGACACATCCCAGAGACCATTTTCATCCTTTCACAATGCAGTATTATTTTCTCTCTAATATCACGGTAACTGATGACTGAAGAGTTTAACCCAAATTTGCTTAATATTTTGATCTAAGAGCTTGAATAAACTTTGAAATGGAAATCATTGCCATGTTTTGCCTCTATAAGAATCAAACATGCTTTTTATTTTGAAATATATTTTTATTGATTTCACATAGGAAGAAATAGGGAGAGACAGAAACATCAAAGATGAGAGAGAATCATTGATTGGCTGCCTCCTGCATATCCCCCACTGGGGATTGAACCCAAAACCCCGGCATGTGCCCTGACAGGAATCCAACTGTGACCTCCTAGTTCATAGGTAGATGCTCTACCACTGAGCCACACTGGCCTACCCAACCATTCTTATATCTGGTATTTGTTCTCCTCAAAATGTACATGAATATCTCTTCTACCACCCCCACAGGCATGGGACAGCATACCAAGGGGGAAGATGAGAGTGCCAGGAGGGAAACAAAGCCTTCAGATGAACTAGCATGCCTTTCAAGAAAGACAATTTGCCCTTGGAAGAAAACATAATGTTTTTTATTTAAAGCAACTCGACTACATTATGGAGTAAAATGACCAAATACATAATTTTTTTTAAAAAAGAGAACTCAAGACTTCAAAGAAAGCTCCTGCTTGCAGAAATCTGTTAAGCTGTGACTATAATACATAGTTTCCTGCAGAGAACTCTCTTGCCTTTAAATGGTTTTTGAGAAAATTTTTGAAAAATGTTTCACCCACAGGATGAATTTCTTGAGGGTATGCACTACATCGTGTCCTTCTCTTTGTCTGCAGGAACCTAGGACAGGACCTAAGATTGGATCTAGCCCAAAACAGACACTCAGTAATGTTTGCAGAATTTATTTGGCTGAAATAATGGCAATGGCATTATCAATAACAAAAGACTTTTATCACATTTGGATGAGAGGAAGGGAAGGAGAGCAGCTGTATGAGGAAGTGGACTAGAAGTAATGCAATTTACCAAAACAGTTATGGCTGCCATGGTGACAATCAGATGAAGCAGCTCTGTTCAGTTCTTTTCCACTTAAACAAGTACAGGAAGGTAAATATTGTACTTGTTTATCTCCCATAGAAGGGGGTGGGGCTTAGGACACGAGTCTACCAGGTGACACTGGTGGCCATTAAACTTAATAACCTTTGAAGAGTTTGAAACATATCATAATAATTGGATCATCAATAATACTATGCTCTGGTTTATACACTGATCCCAGGAATCTCCTTTTAATTACTTAAGGGTTAAGTGTCAAACAACTGTTGCTGAGACCTGACAACTGTGAAAAGTAGATTCATATGTGCGTGTACATAGATATATAAAAATAATATGATGTCAACTCACTCTTCCTTATTCCTAAAATTGTTACCATTTTAATTTGCTGGCCCCAAACCAAGTGGTAGAATGAAGGATGATTCAAAGAGTAGAGTTGATAGCAATGTCTACATTTTCTACACCCCTGGTGGAGACACTGCATTTAAATTCATTTGTCAATAAGTAGGAAAGGTGAGTATCACACCCTCTTTCTCCACACAATCCCTCTTACGCTGCAGTGAGTCACTCCCCATCCAGTACTTTCCAAACTGCAGAGAGACTTTGGGAGGAGGCGGAAGTGAGGACTCCTTGGCCCCCAAGTCTAATCTGTGAATAGGTAAGCCATGCCACGCTGCCTGTCTCCCAGGGATCTTTCCTTTTCTGAACCTTACGTCTCAGATATGTAAACTGGCCAACCAGCATGAGGTATTTCAGGTTTTCTTAATAACGACAGCCAGAGCTCCATAAAATTTCAACTGAAAACTAAGCAGAAAGCAAACAACCATGTTACAGCATTCACATGTTTGTAGTGCCTGAGGAAGAAGGGATAGCAGCTGCCAGAGACACCAGGCAGAGACAGAGCAAATGAATCCCAAACCAAAAAAAAAAACGCTTGCAGCGTTCCTTCCTTGCTCTGAACCAGCAGGCATCCCCTTTCCTGCTAAGAATTAAGTAAGTAACTTTATATTATGCTTTTTTTTCTGTTGGAGTCAGTCATAGGAATAGAGGATTTATTGTATAATCTTATCATTTAATTCTGTTTTATATAAAAACAGCTTTTCAATTCACACCATCTGGGATCAAATCCCTGCTCTTTTATTAACTGTGCAAGTCCCTTAGCATTTTATAGGCATACATTTCTGGGTCTAAGTTTCTTCATCCGTGGGGAAAAAAAGAAAGTCAACCCCCTCCCCAATGTTATTCTGAAACTTAAACAGATGAACTCTATAAAACGCCTGTATACGTCCAGCAATATACATGTCCAGAAAAAGATCTCTTTTTCTATGTAGTAGTAGGAAAACAACTCATGCACAAATTGCTCTAGCGAAGACCAAATTGGCCAAGGGCCCGGGCACCGCTGCTCCAGCTCCCGGAAGTCCTCTAGCAGATGACATAACCAGGTGGCACTGAGGAGCCCGCGCTCCTCGCCCATGTCCTGGATGAATCTCTGGACACAGTTCACTGTGGCCCCTGTCACTCACAAAGCACCTCCTGCCGGGCTCAGAAGTGGACATTTGAAACTTTCTCCTCCACACCCTTAATCTGAATGCATTCATTCCCTTTCCTTAACTCTTCGGGGATCGCGGTCTTGGAAAAGTTAGTGAATGGAGAAAAGCAATGCACAAAGCAGAGAGGGTCCAGTGAGCCTGCACAGCAAGCACCATTTCTACCACCTCCCGCCTGCCAACCCAGACACGCACCTGGGGATGAACTTGGCCTCGTCCCCGAGTCGCGCCTGGAAGTCCCTCCAGGCGGGGCCGGGGCCCGCCGAGCCCCGCGGGGCCGTCAGCACCTCCGCCGCCTCCGCGTCCTGGTCGTCCTCGTCCTCCTCGCTGTCCCCGGAGTCGGACGCAGCCTGGGACTCGGGCAGAACGGGGGGCCCCGCCCGCAGCCCGCAGCCCCGGCGGCGGCCCCCGCGGCGGGCCCCGCGGAAGCCGCACGCGAACTCCTGGAAGGTGATGGCGCCGTCGCGGTCCGCGTCCAGGCGCCGGAACACGGCCTCGGCGTCCGCCGGCCGCACGCGCAGCTCCGCGCACAGCGCGCCGAACTCCTCGCGCTCCAGGCGCCCCGAGCGGTTCGCGTCGCAGGCGGCGAAGACGGAGCGCAGGCGGGCCAGCTCCTCCGGGTCCCCCTCCGCCTCCATCCCGCCCGACGGGGTGGCCTCGGAGCTCTGGGACCCGATGGGCGTCCTGCGCGCCCTAAGGCGGCGAGAGAAAGCGGGAAGTCCGGGCCACCCGCTGCCGCCGGGAGTGACGCGGAGCTGGGCTCGCCCGGCTGGTTCTGCCACCTGAGGGACGTCCTGTCCGGGCGGCGCGGGGTTCCTAGGCGGGTCCGGAGCGGCGCACCCCACACTGTCCCCGGTCCGGCGCACGGATCTCTGTTGGCCCCCCGCCGCCCAGGAGCCAGGCAGGTGAGCTCCTGGCTGCGCGCACCGCGCGGGAGGGTCCGCGGAGACTGAGGTCCAAGCGCCCAGGCACCTGCCACTTTCCTAGCGGGGCCAGCTCCGCCCAGCCGGAGAGGAGGAGCGCCCGGCTCCGGTTCCCACGCCTCGGGTGGGGAACTGGTAAGAGCTTAGATTTGGGGCTCTTGGAACTGGGGACCCAGCTGGAACGGGGGAGATGGGGCAGGGGAGGTACAAGAGGAGCGTTACCAAGTCCTTCGACATAAATCCTTGCTGGGGTAAAACCAAGAACTTAGCTCCCCCGCAAGACAGGTTGCTGGCATGACCCGTGGGAAGCGAACTTAGTGGACAGAAAAGGAAAAGGATGGTAGGGTGAAGGTTCCAGATAATGAATGTTTGTGTATTTTATTCTCTGCTAATTCTGGAAAATTGGTCAACTTCTGTATATACATGTTTTCTTACAAACCAAGGTGTGAGATTGACTGGAAGACCCCATTCTCTTGTTTTACTGGCTCGCCTCAACCCATGTCCGTCCAACATTCAAGTCCAAATAGTTAGTACGCAATAGAAATCATCTAGCTCTTCCTGATTCCCACATCCAAATAATTCTTCTCACTCCTTGTCTCCTTAACCTGAGTGAAAAGTAATAGCCTAAATCCTTGGTAGGCAGCAATGTTTACCAGACTGGGGTAGCTTTTCTTTATATATATATAAAAAAAAATCTATGGAAATGATATATCTGAATGTATGTTCCCATTCGATCTTAAACACTTATTTCAACAAGGCTGTTGTTTCTTTATACTGACTGGTTTATAGGTACAAGGTCTTTAAAATTACTTCATTTTGATTCTTTTTAAAAGTCTTGTTTTTCTTGCCCTAGCAGGCCAGTTTTGCTGGCCCACAGACTGAAGGGCGGTGGGTTCCAGTCTGGTCAAGGATATGTGCCTCCGTTGCAGGCTTGAGCCCGGCTTCCCATTGGGGCATGTGTGGGAAGTTGATATGTCTCTCTCATATCTAGGTTTCTCTGTTTCTCCACCTCCCTTCCACTCCCTCTAAAAATCAAGGAAAAATATAACCTCGGGTGAGGACTAAAAAAGTAAAATTTTGTCTTTCCATTTACAAGAGACCTTCATTCTGCCATATGACTTCTGTAGCATATGTTCCTTTCCATGATTACTACAGCCTGAGAAAATGCATTTGGGTTATTTTCACTTTGTTCACATTATACATTCCCTCCATTTTTTAGACCTTTTTTTACTATCATTTCTTTTAGTTATGACTGTGTTTTCATTTTACCTCATTCTGGATTCTCTTTATTGTTGATTACTTTGATTTTTTTAAAATATAGTAAAATATGCCGCCGAAACCAATTTGGTTCAGTGGATAGAGCGTCAGCCTGCGGACTGAAGGGTCCCAGGTTCGATTCCAGTCAAGGGCAAGTACATTGGTTGTGGGCACATCCCCAGTGGGGGCGTGCAGGAGGCAGCTGATTGATGTTTCTCTCATTGATGTTTCTAACTCTATCTCTCTCCCTTCCTCTCTGTAAAAAAATCAAAACAATATATTTAAATATATATATATTAAAAAAAAATAGGGAATTTTGCTGACACATTTCTTCAGGCTAGTGTTCCTAAACATAGAGCTAAGTGCTAAACGTCTGAGGAACTGTTTCTTCTTGAACAATACAGTAAACACAGTCAATACTCGCAATCACCTGTCAAGTTGTAAATACCACTACTAATCTCCATCTGTAAATTTAACTGGTCCATTATGAGAAGCCCAGTCTTAGGTCTTAGCAGTCTAATCGCTAAGTGGATATAGTTCTATACAAGTGGACAGATAATACATTGAAATGAATTTCACCATTAGTACAATATAAATTGTTATTGATTTTGAGTGTATGTGCTTTCCTGTTTATGCTAAAGATTGATTTTCCATATAAAGTAAAAAGTGGATAGCTTGTAATGTCTTTAAAGCTGTACAAATATACTTATTAAACTGAATCTTTGAAAGATCACTACTGTTAGCAATGAATAAATATCTGCTTTCCAAAATAAATGAGTTAATATTTTTAAGTGGCAAAAGTGCTTTCTTCGAGAATGCTCATGCAACTCCATTCCTGAACTCACTCTGAATTTGCACTAATTTCTAAATTCTTATATCCTTTGACCTGTTTTGCCCTTTCCTCAAGCCCTTTCATTGAAGAGTAATCAGTAAACATAGATTATTCCAAATGCCTTGCATATACATCTCATTTCCACAGATATTTATCGACTCCAGCCTTAATGTAACTGTTATCTATCACTGTATATCAAAAAGGGATTTAAAACCACCACCATATTTGTTCATAATTTCACTCAAGTTCTGGTGCTCATTGTAGGCTTCAGGGGTTCCAGGTAGTATCATTGTAAACATCTTTGCTGTAAGCATTTAGCCACAAACAATTTGGATGTAAAAAAAAAAAAAAAAAAAAAAAAAAAAAAAAAAAAAAAAGATAAAGAACAGAAATAAAAGAGGGACATTAAAAAAGATATAACAAAGCATGAAAAATTAACAAAATTCAGAAGACTATTGCAAAAAATGAAAAGACATTATCATTGAAGTCTTTTGTTCATAGTATTATACTTTCTTTGGAGAGGGGGGGCAAGATTTGTCTCCTTGTCAGTCATTGAAATATTTTTCTTTCTTTCTAAAATGCCTTCCTTCATTAAGAGAGGTATCAGTTTCCAACTAAAGAATCAGTCATGCTCCTGAAGACGGTTGTAAATGAGCAGCTATCTCTTTTATATTTGCCATTGCTTGGTAAACTTTCTGTTTTCATGGGTGGGAGAGGTGGCTGTGTTCACCAAAGGGCTTGCAAAAACTGATAGGTTATTATTTTCCAGTACAGTATGTAATCTGGCCAAGATTTATATGACATAAAATTGGGAGCACCCTGAGAATTTTGTCAATGGAGAAATGAAATTAAACTGTGAACCATTTACTTTCTCTCTAATGATGAAATTGCCTCACTGGCAATTATTTCTGCAGTGAAAAAGTTTGTAGCAGAAATTATTTAGGCAATGATGTTTAAGACAATGATGTCTATGGCAACACTATGGGATATCGTCTCCATGGGGCCAGGTCTTCACAAGGCTGGCACGGGTCTTATCATAGGGCAGCTGTGTGCTGATAAAAGTCCGAATGCACAGATGCTTTTCAAGCCTCAGCCTGTATCCTGTTTGCTGATATTCCACTGATCAAAGCAAGTCACATGGCAGGTCCTACATCAAAGAGGAGACTGACTACAAGGTCATGGATACAGGAGGGTGTACTTTATTGGAGGCCCTTACTATAACAATATACCATACCTCGGGTATGGGTCAGCCTCTAATACATTCTCTCGGGTTCCTGTCCTGTCGACCTCCTGTTCATTCTACACAACCACAGCTAGACAGTCCTTCTTAAACACTAATTATTCTGTCATTCTAGGGATCAATGGTTCTCATTCCATGGTAATCCTGTTTCCCATGATACATTTGGCAACATCTGGGAACAGTGTGGTTATCACAGTTTGAAAGGAGGGAGATGCTACAAGCATCTAGAAGGCAGGGGTCAGGGATGCTGCTAAATATCCTATGGTGCACAGGGCCAGCCTGTGGTAACAAAGAACTGTCCAGCCAAAAAGGCAAATAGTGTGGAGATTGAGAACCTTACCAATCATTTGTTAAGTAAGGAGAGATTCTCTACATTTATCAGCATGATTTTCAGAAAGATCTGCTTCTCATTAACCCCCCAGAGGTCACCCAGTAAAAGAGAACCAAGGGTAAGCTCTTCAACAGAGTCCTCTACAACCTAATTCCACCTTATATATCAAACATCTCTCCCTTTCGTCTCCATCAGAGCTACTACTGTCCCCCAAGGGTGACATCATTGATCATATAATTCACCTTATAGCTCCTTCCTGTCATGACAAGATGTAAATATAAAACATCTCTTAGCTTTTCTCTCTTCTACCTAAATCATTTCCCAGCCTTGGTAGAAGAATTGGATACTGCTTTTCCTATCAAAGTTTTTACTATTTTATTGTGACTTATCACTTATAAGAATGTTACTTAATGTGTATGGCAGCTCAATTAAAGGCCAAAGGAATGCTTTTTGTTTTCAAGTTGTTTCCATGGTTTTATTTTTCCAGTTAAAACTTTGATCCATCTAGAATTTATTTTGAGTCAGGTATGAATTGTCGATTCACTTCACTTTGTTTCTGGATTTCTACCTAGTTTGTCTCAACACCATTTATTCAACACTATCTTCTTCATGGATTTTAATACCATCTTTAGCATGTACTAAATTCCTGTATGTGTTTGAGTTTATTTCTGAACTTTCTAGTCTGTTCTATTGAGGAATCACTCATGTTTTGAAGGAATCTTTAGCTTATAAAAAAAATTCTCAAAGTCCCGTAAATATTGGTTTGCATTTTTGTATTTTTAAATGTTCATTTATATATCATTCAGCAATTGCAAACAAGATTGGGGGAATGTAGGGAGGATATTGAAGACATTTGTTAGGCACAAATACATATTGACGGTCCATCTGAAGTTTTCATGGAAATCAGTAAGAAAATAGGAGTTGATTTTTAGAAAGAGTAAGGAACTCCCTATTTAACTAAAACATGAGGTGCTTCTAGAAAGCCATTCACAAGGCAGTAAGGAATGCTTTTGAGTGTACCCAACAATATGCCCAGGGGAAGGCCAAGGTTATAT